ACCATAATCTTTTTTTCGTGAGGATTCGGCTTTGGAAATTGCCTCGTGGTTCGTCGGCATCCAACCACTGTCCGGAACGTCTCCTGTTATCATACATGATCCACTTTTCATCACAGGTGACAATTCGGTCCAAAAACGGGTCGTTTCTGTTGCGCAAAAGCAGTGAAGAAGAAACCTCGAGACGTGCCAATTTCTGCCGGTCACTCAAATTGTGGGGCACCCACTTGTCGAGTTTTTTCACCTTCCCAATGCGTTTCAGACCATCCGCAACAGTGGATTTGCCAACGCCTAGCTTTTCTGCAATCTCTCGAACTGTTTGGGATGGGTCAGCCTCCACAAACGCCTTCAAATCCTCGTCAGGTATTGCTTTAGGTCGACCGCTACGAGGTTCATCTTCAAGGCTGAAATCTCCAGAACGAAATTTGTCGAACCATTGTCGCACGGTGCTTTCTCCAACACTATTGGGCCCCCACACCTGGTTAATTTGTCGAGCTGTTCTCGACTGCGGATTGCCCCAATTTATAGTCGAAAAAAAATCGTCCGAAGTGCTCTTTTCACATGCTTGAAAAAATCTTGAAAAAAGGGGGTTCATCAAGCAATGGTGAAACGGCAGTTATACCATCAGATAGCGCAAAGAATTCTCTTCAGGATGTACTACTGAGACGCAAGGGAGAATGAGTTTTTAATCAGCAATGAATGTACAAAAAATAGTAACACAAAACGTGCAGAACTTTCCGGACAACCTAATACTTCCATTCAGAACGGCAATGGCTTATTGAATGCGATGTGGCCTATAAAATGACTCGGAGGCAAGTCGTTGTACAAGTCAGTGTTTTGATCCTTCCAGGCGAATCTGGTACCAAGTTGCCGGGCCCGGGGGTAGAAGGCTAGCTGGCCTGGGCGATGGTCAGTCTGGGATTTGACCTCCGGACCGTACGCGTCGTAAGCGTACCACTTGCCACTACGTCACCTCCGCCTCCCTTAGGTTGATACACTCGAGCTGATACTAATGCCACACTTACTGGAAGTATGTCCGACATTTCATCCACCACGATTTGAACGTTAAAAAAACAAACGCACACAATTGAGCAGCTCCTATGAAACAATCTTCTACAAAACACACATCTAGAACTCAATCTCTTCATAGAAGCTCATAGATGTCTTTGTTTTCCAATGAGAAAATAGTACAACAATCGTCTACATTTCTAGATGTAACCACGAACTAGACTCTATTTCGATCTGGAAGCTATTAGATCAAGATGTCGAAGTCTCGCAGTTCCTCATCAGAAGGCAATGAGGCCATAACGCGGGTCCCTGAAGATATATCATAGCTGGAAAAAGAACCGACACTTTTGATGAATGTTCTCTATAGACACCCATCCCTTTGGCAATTTAGAAATAATGAAGAATTCGCTCCGCACAGGGTAAAATAAATGGGAAACACAATTTTTCTCTACACCACAGTCTCAGCTTTCAGTATCAGACATGAAAAAAAATCTATGGCTTTATACGGAACACTCCCAAGAGGTGGTTCTCTTTTCCTCAGTGCAGAAGAGGTCGTTAGGCGTGACTCCTCATTGATAGGCTGGCTTTTCAACTAAAATCCTTCCTCGATAACAGAATCATGACCTTGAAGCTGCTTTCTCAAAACCTCTTCTTTCTAGCGCTTCCAAAGGGAGGTCAGGAAAAAAGTGAGAACTCGGAGTGAACAGACCCATCCAGTCAACCATAAGTAGAGAAAAAAAGACCACATGCATAGAAGCTCACGGCACTAACGTAGTTCGGGGAGCGGTAGCAGTAGTACGGAAGCCTTGGGGAGGGAAGGGACATATTAGGTCGTTGCAAAAGAAATGCAGGATTTCGTT